GAGAGAGAGAGAGGGAGAGCCATTCACCACTTTTAAAAAATGAAAATACAGAAAGATACAAATGCTTTTTTTGTTTTTGTTGTTTTGTTTTTGCCTTTACAGTACCTTAGAAATCCCATGACAAACGTGTTTAGGAAGAAAACAAAACGAGAAGCCTTAGCTATATTACTTTTTTCTGTATATTGTATGACTTCAAATATAACAAAGGCAGCTCCTATCCAAAAGCAGGATGAGAAGGCAGGAAGGGATGGGAACTGGAACAAGGGACACAGGGAACCTGGGGTTGAAAGGGGGAGCATGCTGTCACATTGTGGGGATCGCAACCAATGTCACAAAATAATATGTGTATAAATTTTTGAATGAGAAATTAACTTGATAGTAAATAACTAACTAGTTAGTATTTACTAACTAGATAGTAGATAAGAATTATCTTAGATGAAGGGAAGGTCAGCACACACTACAGAGGAAGTCAGCACAACTGGACTAAACCAAAGCTAAGAAGTTTCCTCAATCCAATCAAACACTTTGAGGGACAGAGTAGCAGGGGTAGGGGTCTGGGGACCATGCTTTCAGGGGACATCTAGGTCAACGAGCATAATAAAGCTTATTAAGAAAATGTTCCGCATCCTACTTTGGTGAGTGCCATCTGGGGTCTTAAAAGCTTGCAAGTGGCCATCTAAGATGCATCAATTGGTCCCAACCACCTAGAGTAAAGGAGAATGAAGAACACCAACGACACAAGGAAATTATGAGCCCAAGAGACAGAAAAGGGCCACAAAAACCAGAGACTTCATCAGCCTGAGACCAGAACTAGACAGTGCCTGGCTACCACCAATGACCACCCTGACAGGAAACACAATGGGGGAGTCCCAGATGGAGCAGGAGAAAGGTGGGGTGCAGAACTCAAATTCCAGTAAGAAGACCAGACTTAATGGTCTGACTGAGACTGAGGGAACCCTGGAAAGCATGGCCCCCGAATTCTCTATCAGCACAGAACTAAAACAATTTCTGAGGCCAACTCTTCAGACAGGGATTGGACTAGACTGTGGGACATGAAATGATACTCGTGAGGAGTGTGCCTCTTAGGTCAAGTAGATACAAGAGACTAAATGGGCAGCTTCTGTGTGGAAGTGAGATGGGAAGGCAGAGAGGGTTAGGAGCTGGCTGAATGGACACGGGGAATCAGGGGTGGAAAGGAGAAGTGTGCTACCACAGTATGGAGAGAGCAATTAGGGTCACATAACAGTGTATGTATAAATTTTTGTATGGGAGACTAACTTGAAATGTAAACTTCATTTAAACTACAACAATAATAATAAAATAATCAACTTGAGCTATAAACTTCCACCTAAAGCACAATTAAAATACATATACATATATATAAAACAAAGAGTAATACACAGTACCATAAGCAATATTTATATAAATTTATAAAAATATATCCTATTCAAAAGATGTATCAGCTCATTTCTAGGTATATAATAGTATGTATACCAATAAAAGAACTTCTTTCATACATCTTTCCTTAAGCACTCAAAATGGGTCTTCTAAGTCCGTGGGACTCTTTTAAATACTTACCTTGGTGGTACACCTGGCTATCTGAAATGTGTCTTTTAGGATTTTTTTCCTTAACACTTGTAGGTGATGAGAGGTTGGCAACTGAAGACCGGCCAGAAGACTGTAGCGAAGTTTCGAAATCAGATGAACAGTAAGAGTCATGGTGTTTGCCTGAATTTCTTTCTTGATTAGTATCTGGACTTTTTGCTCTTTCCTCCATTGTTTTGAAAAATGGCCTCTATTCCCATAATTTCACAAGATTCTTTTCTCCAGAAGAGTCCATGACAATAATAAAGTGCATATTTATAGTCTTCAAATCCTGGTGATAATATTCATTTCTGTGCAATTTGCTTTCTCCATATATCCAGTAGTCCCAAATTCACATTAGCAACCAGAAGATACACTTTTTCCCCCTATAATTAAGGAAGGGGGAGGAAGACTCATCATATACTCATGAAATAGTCCACCTTTAGATTTCTACAGATAATTACAATGAATTTACTAAAAGCAAAATATACTGTCTGCATTTTTCTAAAAGATGATATGATTTTATTTATCTGTATTTTCATATATAGTTATTTACAGTAGTTGGGAGAAAAAATGCTATCATAGCCTATTTAAATAACAACATATAAAGTGCCTGACATAAAAATGCTTCTCAATAAATGCTAACCAAATTTTACTCCCTGAACCTTAAGATTGATAGCAAACACAAACGCTGATATTTAACTGGTAGCACAGTAGTTAAGAGCTCAGGCTGCTAACCAAATGGTCGGCAGTTCGAATCCACCAGTTGCTCCTTGGAAACCCTATGCGGCAGTTCTACTCCATCCTATAGGGTCGCTATGAGTTAGAACCAACTCGACAGCACGTAACGACAACAACGATAAAATCTTCAGTGTTTTTTGAGGGGGGGAATCTGCTAATAGGAACCAAGAAAAATACAATCAAGTAAATTTAAAGAAAAAACATTTGCAAACATGACAGAAAAATGGTTACTATACTTATTTTGAATAAATACCTTATACTATCTGATTAGAAAAATATGAGGTCAAAAGTTAAATGGACAAAATGTATGATGAGACCCAAAACCAAAAAAAGAAGTGTTAAAAAATATTTTAAAAACTATTTTCAGTAAGCATATTGTTAGTATTATTATTCTAAGACTAGTAAATGTGAATTGTGAGATAAAGCAAATGAGTAATTTTGTTGGGAATAATAATAGCAGCTTTCTTAGAGAACTGCTACAAGATTAAATGGAATAATTTAATAACCATCACACAATAACCAGCAATTAGATTTAAAATTCAGATACATAAAAGATGCTCAATAAATTATGACGGGTGTACCTTGTCAAAGACTTTCAGCCTGAATTCCAATAATACAGTTAAAAGTTGATTATACAGAATCAATAAGGATTAATTCTATTTATATGCATGTATCAGAAGTAGCTTCCTATGACTTATCCCATCTAAATCAGAGTTGTAGCCCAACTTTTTACGGCAAAGGGAAGAATCCACAAAAACAAGATTACGTGCCACTCCTCCTATGCAATGCTCTCACTCTCTCCAACCATCAACCATCAAATATGCACACAGCAGTAAAAAGAAAAAAAAAGAAAAAAAGGAAATATTCTCCATCTCATTATCCAAGTTCTGCTCCCTGGAGCAATCATTATTTGATGGTTTATGCTTTTATGCTTATACTTCTTCTTAAATTTGCAATTCTAGACTACGATAAATAAGGCTTTAACTCACACCTCATATTAGATGGCTGCAACTGCATGTTGCTTCTGTGGGATTTTTTTTTAGAATTTCTATTGTCCTTTTTCCTTACTGAGAGGAATAAACATACACTTCCTACCACGTCACTAATACCTACCAGCTTTTTACTCATTCTTTCTATGGCCTACAGTCAATTCCATTCTTACAGACACTTTTCTTGGAGACCAACGACTTCCCATTCTAATTTAAACCAATTACTTTTTAGACCCTGTTGCACCACTATCGTTCTGGAATTATTTTTATTGGACTCCTGAGAGAGTTCCACTATTTCTTGTAGCACATGTCACCATCTTTATTAGTTTTCATCATTTTGCTGGTCTGTATCTTCAAGTAATATCTTCACAAAGCATATATGTGTGGGGAAGAAAACGTTCAGTTCTTGCATGCCTGAGAATGTTTTTATTTTGCCCTTACGCTTGATAATTTTTATAGGTTCTGAGCTCTAGGTTAAGCCATTTTCCCTCAGAACTTTGAAGACACTGCTCCACTGTCTTCTAACCCTCAGTGTTGCTGGTAGACATTTGTTATAGTTATTCTTTTAATCAACATATATATTTTTTGAGCTCCCATGATGTACGAGTAAGAGACAGAAAAAAGAAAAATCCCTGCCCTCACGAAGCTTACATTCTAGTTATGCTCATCTGAATGTCATTCAGTTGAAGGAATTTTTTTTTTCTTTCTCCTTCCTAGAAACATTTAGGACTCTTCTCTATGAATACTGAAATTTCACAATGATGTCCTTAGGTGTTAGTCTTTTATTCTGTTGGGCCTTTAGTTCCCCTCTGCCTAATCTTTTATCTTTAAGCATCAGAAATTTTCTTATACTACTTTTCTGATAATGCTCCCCCTCCATTTTCTCTGTTTGGAACATCTACTGGTTAAATAACAGATCTGTTCTTTCTTTTCTATTTTCAAAGAGTTTTACTCAATTTATCTTCCAAACCATCCACTTTGTTTCAATTTGTACAAATACATTCATTTCCAAGACTGCTTTCATGTTCTGAGTTTTTAAAATAATTTTTCTATTCCTGGTTCACTGAGGCAATATGTTTTCATTTCTCTGAGAACACTAGACACTTTTTCTTTTTTTTAAAGTCTCTTCTGATACAGGAATTATCTATTTCACATGGAGTCACTTTTTCTGTTTATCTTGGGCCTTTTCTTCATATGCTGTTGCATTTATTTCTTTGAAGGTAGTTTTTGGTTATTTAAGGAAGAGAAAAATGGAAGAGTGAACAGGAACTCTGATAATGTGAGCAGGACTTCCTGATGCACACACTTTGCTTTAGGATGAACAGCAAAGAGTCAGCCATTACACAGGGAACTCCTTAAAAGCTGGAATGAGGAAGGCTTAACATCCAGACACAAATGCCCACCATGGCAACTCCTCTAATGTTTTCTTAGTTTTTATTTCCAGAAGAAATACCTCTTTTTTTTTTTTTTTTCTGCTGGCAAAGGTGTATGTACTCTTAATATGTCCTCTAAAATTATTACATGCTAATTACATGAAAGTATTTTCTTAATAAGGAGCCCTGGTGGAGCAACAGTTAAGCACTTGGCTGCTAACAAAAAAGTTGGTGGTGCAAACCCACCCAGCAGCTCTACGGGAGAAAGACCTGGAGATCTGTTCCCCTAAAGATTACAGCCTAGAAAACCCTATAGGACAGTTCTACTCTGTCGCATGGGGTCGCTATGAGTCAAAATTGACTTGACAGCACCTACCAATAACAACACATTTTCTTAACAGTGACAGCAAACTTAACAGCCCCAGGAAGCTAGAGAATATTTTCTTATCTTTGCCAAAGTTCTGATTACTTAGGTTCTATTCTAGTAGTGCAGTGGTTAAGGGCTACCGCTGCTAACCAAAAGGTCAGCAGTTCGAATCCACCAGCTGTTCCTTCGAAACCCCACCGGGCAGTTATACTCTATCCTGTAGGGTTGCTATGAATCAGAACAGATTAGATGGCAAGGGGTATTCTGACCTAAATATACATGTATTATTTTACATTATGTTACAATTCCTCATAACATTTAACAAGTATTCCTTATGAAATACAGCAACCCAAGACCTAAACTTTTCTAGAGAATAAAAACTTAGACATTTGCGAACATTCACTTTAAAAACAAATTTGTCCTTAGTCCTTGTAGAAATGCTGCTGTCTCGCTGACAGTGCTATTAAAAATAAATAAATTTATAATAATGACTCAAATAAGCAAAGAGGCAAATAACTGAAAACAAATTAAAGAAAAGGAAAAAAAAAGGTGTGAAAAATAAGACCAAAAAAACGAGAGAAAAACAGATAAAGTAAAGCAACTATTCAAGTAATAACTATTAATTTTTCTTACGAAGTACAAAAAATTTTAAAGAAGCAAAAATAAATAAACACTATGGCTTTATGAAATCATAAAAATTTAGCCCTGAAAGATATCCTAGAAAATCATCTGGTAGTTCAACTTCTTTCTTTGTAAAGATTAAGGAAACTAAGGCCCAGAAAAGTGACTTACCCAAAGTCAAAAATTATTTATCTAAGGAAAACCTGAAATAGACTACAAGTTTTCCGATCCCTAGCTGAGTGACCAAGTCAATATTTTAATAACAGCCAGATGAGAACTATCTCATCTTCGAAGCCACCTCCACCTTCATCAATCCCATACATACTCTTTGCCTTCCCCCTGCTAAAATAAAAGAAGTATTTTTGCTCCTTTTAAAAGCCAAGTCTTTAGGCTGTCTCCTTTCCCTATCCTTTCTTTTTTGCCTTTCTGTTCTCTTTTCTTTTTATTGTTGTTGAAAGTACACACAGCAAAACATTTACCAATTCAACAATTTCTACAAGTACAATTCAGTGACAGATTACATTCAAGTTCTGCAACCATTCTCACCCTCCTTCTCAGAACTGTTCCTCCTCCATTAAGATAAACTCACTGCCCCAAGTTTACTATCTGACCTTCGCAGTTGTTGAGGTCGATTTGATCCCATATAGATCGTTCTTTTAAAAAGCACAATGGTCAAGGCAAACATTCTTTACTAATTAAGCTAACTTATTATTTGGTTTAAAGAAGATTGCAGTGGATATTTTTGGTTTAACGTTTAAAGATTATCTCAGGGCAACAGTTTCAGGGGTTCATCCAGCCTCAATGGCTCCAGAAAGTCTGGATTCCATGAGATTTTGAAATTCTGTTCTGCACTGCTCCCCACCCCCATTTGATCAAGATTCTTCTATAAGTTCTCTGATCAAAATTTTCAGTAATGGTAGCCAAGCACCATCAGTTCTTCTGGTCTCATCTGCCTTTCTGTTTTAAAGGCAATAATATTAAATCTTCCCTCTTTCAAACAATTGGTTAAGTCTTACTTAAGTCTCTAAAATTCCTAAGAACAAGAAAAGTTAGCAAATCAAAGTTTTGCTCAGAACCACTACTGTGGTAAAGTTGGGATGTATTTATGGCATTAATTTTAAATATCTGAGAAGACCCAGTGGGTCTTCAGACAAAATAAGTTTCACTTGCAGTTATACTAATCATATCTATTGGACTAATATAACCATAATATTATTAAGGAGTGAAAATAAAATTATTTTTCTCTTAAAAAAGTTATCTAAATTAACAGACAAGAACACTGAATACTGAGTAGC